CTAGTATAACACTGATTAGTAAGTGTTTGAAGAGTCAAAGCTTGTGTTGCGATCTCAGTACATTATTTCGAGAAAAATGCATTGATATTTACATTAACTTAATGTTTTGTACATCATTAACGATGTATCACCTATCTAGTGTTAAATAAAAAACCACTCCAATGAAATAAAAATGAAAATGCCTTAGATTCAATCAGTATCTTAAATCATACCCCATTCCTCTCTTTAGAAACGATAACGGCACAGCATTGGTACCGAAGCGTCCCGCAATTGTTTCTCGGATAGTTAGCGGGGGTGCCTCAACTATTGGCCATTTTTTCTTTCCTGCCTCTTGTCAGTCCCTGACGTCTTTGCGAAAGTTAACTCTGCCCAGTCTCTTTCTCCTTCATTAAAGTGGCGAATTCCTAGGCACATACCAATCCCACGTCTTTTTCTTTAGAAAGAGATACACATAAATTGTTACAAGACGGTGTTGGACTTAAGTCAGTGGTGTTGAAGAAGTATGTTAGATATTTTTCCCAAGTCCACTAGTTCAAACTAGTGTTCTAAACACTGCACTGCACGTGGGGTTCGCATGATTGAGGTTTTTTTTTAGTAGTTGCATGTCAAATTAAGCAACTGCATGCTGTAAGTCAGCCATTTTTTTTCGTAAAGAAGAACAAAACTCAGTAATATTTTAGCAAATAAATAAATGTACACAACTTAAGTGAACAATAAAGCAAGTTTATCTTTGTCTTGTATATATAGTGTATGCACAATAGTGTATTCCCACCTCTAAAAATTATACGTTCCCAGGCTCGTAAGGAGGGGAGGTGCGACGGGTGCGCTCGCACCCACCCCCCTCCCCCACCCCCCCCCTCACAGGCGCCAGAGGTCCACTTTTTTACTGATCAGCGATTTAAAGCAAAGTGAAGTAGGAGTATTTTTCTATTCTAATTTACTGATTGTGTAGTAAAATTGAAAATGCTGTAAAAGAGGTCACAAGCCTGACTGTTTCCACGAAACGTGTTTCCTCCTTCGTAAAGTATAATAAGGGGATTTGGTTTGCCTATAAGACATTTTTAATTGCTCAATAAAATTCCCTTTAGTTTTCTGCAAAGCGTTGTATCTGAATTGTTATTTAAACAGTCGACGAGTATGAGATTCCCTTGTTACTGTTAGCTTGGAGTTTGATGCAGGGACCGCGCAGTGGAAGGGGGTGGGAGTAATGCTAAAAAAAACATCGAAGTTACTTTTCTATTTAACGTTTTACCGAAAAACTGATTATTTTATATTCTACCGTAAATTCGCAGCCATGAAAGTGAAGCTCCTGTTCTTCTTTTCTTTCGCTCTTGCATCAGCTGCTTCAGTTCAACATGGAGCTAAACGTCCGTTGTCGAACAAGGTCGAAGGTTCGGAGAATACTTTTTGCTGTTTTGTGGAGAAACGTTTTTTGTTGCTGAAAGTATATAAGTTTTATCACACCATGTTAGTTTTAACTGCATTTCCAGCCATTTCAGAGTGCTTAAAATTAAAAATTTCGCGGGGGAGCATGCCCCCGGACGAACCCCGCTAGTTGACTCACACTGACGCGTTCTAAGTGAGCCACTCCCCACCCTTCAATTGCAAACTTGCTGCGCTATTCAGTCTCAGACAACCAAAGCTTCCCCCCCCCCCCC